AACTGCAGCCCCCAGTGCTGGGCTGCTGTTGGCAGGAGCTGCAGAGCTGCTGCCCATCTCTGCCCGTGGCCTTGGAGGCAGTCCCCGAAGGGGGGAAGAATCTTCCCCCAAATATTCCTTTGTGGAAGGATGTGGAGGCATAATAGAAAAAACAATCCGTGTGTTGAAGTGATGTTGTGTGTTCCCCTGCTCATGTGGTGCCTGTTGCCCACAGTCCTCCTGACAATCAAGCAGATGGGAGCAAATGCCTTGTGCAGGCTGGCTGGGGCTGTTTGTCAGGCAGAGGAGTTGCAGGCAGAGGGAGATTTGCATGTCTGGGCCAGAGGGGAGCTGTGTTTGCTTGGCAGAATTCCTCACAGGCCGCTTGTGCATCCTCCCTGTTACCTTAGGATAGGATTTTCTGCTGTTTCCCCCTGAGAACCAGGCTCAGAATTCAGCTCAGACGTGTCAGGAGGGAAAGCTGGAGTGGGGAGAGGCTGGGGTTCTGCAGGACCCCACAGCCCTTCAGAGTGAAGACACAGCACAGATAAGATGCCAGAGAATTAGAGCCAGTGAATAGTTTTGTGGATTAATAGACATAAGCACTAGAGCTCAAGGGAGAGAAACAGATTCCATTATTGACTGTTCATCCCCTGCAAAATTGCCTAAAGGGAAGGCTAATATGGTTTGTTTTCCCTTAATTAAATATTTGTTATATGGTTTGTTTCCCCTCAATTAAATATTTGTTCTGGTTGTTCCTTTGTGACAGAAATAAAAAAGAGCAGCATTGCCTATCTTGTACTTTCAGCTAATCCTGAACGTGCTGTAGCTGTTCCTCTGTCCTCCCCCAATTATTTCCTGTAAAAAATAGCTTTCTTGCATCCATTCTCTTTTCTCTCTCTGCTTTTGAATCACTTTGCTGAGTGACTCATCCTGCCCCAGTAAATAGGTTAACTCTAGGAGAATGATGAAACTGCACAGTGACATGTGGATAGCGAGTTGTGTGCTTTCCCTGCAGTTGCTGTTTTAGAGGTGCTGTGGTATCCAATACCAATTTCATCAGGTTTTAAACCTTGAGGTGCTGCTGCTGCAGGGGAAAGTCATCACCAGCCTCCTCCGGTTGTGCTGGTTTTGATCTACAAGAAATGTGTCTTAATACCAAATGGCACTGCTTGTCCCAGCAGCTTGGGTGAAATCCCTGAGGTGCAAAGCAGGCACAGTAAGCAGGCAGGAGCACACTTCAGCCTTGTGCTTTGCAGCAGCGCAGACAAGAGTTAGCAGTGACAAAATGAGGACTCTTGCCTTGTGTTTCCTAAGCTTCAGTCCATCAGCCTATTATTTCTGTATGGGTTTAGCCAAGTAACATGGTTTATAAAATGAACTCCGTCCCCTTCTGGTATAAGTTTTTGTGTATTTATTTATTATGTGCTCATTCTACTTGGAATATTTTACTTGGTCTTGTTGCATGTAAACTAAAGCTAAATACAAACTTCATCTTTTCTCAGTAACTCTCTGAGTATCAACGAGAGAGAGCCAACTCCATGACTCAAACACGTGTCCCTTCCCTTGCAATTGCAGCCAAAACTCTCTGGCATCAGAGTGCTGCAGAATGAAAGTCAGATCTAAATATATGTGAGCAGAAAGAAAGTCAGTTAAAAAAAGACTTTGTTATGGAAAGCTACTACAAACCAAATCCACGGTGGCCTGGAGTTCCTCATCACACCCAGGCTGATCTAGTTTTCCACTTTCAAGGTACTCTTCCCAAAGCAGCTGCTGACCCTGGTGGAGGAGCTGCACAGAGCCAGCTGAGCTCCTTGCAGCCCCTCTCTGCCTCCTGCGTGGTGACTGAACAGACTTCAGGGGTTTACCTGACAAAGCACAGGACATTTATCACCCTCCTGGCAAACAGGAATGCAGGAGCTTTTGTTTCATGCCCATGTAGCTCTGGCAGTGCCAGATTGATACTCAGGGCCAGTCCTTGGTCAGTAACTTGGGAAGGGCTTGGGCAGAGCCTGGCCCTGGGCACCACCCTTGGCTTTGGTGCCAGTGTCTGCAGTGCTCTGGGCTGGGCAGAGAAAGGGGGCAGAGAATAAGATTTGAAGAAACAGAAACAGCCCAGTTTGCTGGGCTGCCTCGCCCAGCCCTGCTCCAGGGGTCTGACACAGCCCCTCTAAACTCAGCTCAGGCAGTCTGAGCCTGCAGAACAGCTCCAAGGGCTGCCCACAGGCGTTTGCTGAAGCCTGCTGGGGCAGGAGACGGGCATGGAATTGTTCCTGAAGGTTCCTTCTTCCTCCAGTCTGGGGTTGCACCAGTCTTAGAACTACCTGATGAAAAAAGTGGTGACTAAATACTGAAATCCATTGAGCAAACAGGAAATCACACTCTGGAGCAAAAATTGCTCTTTGTGGTGCTGTTGCAGCCAGCAGCCCGGACAGAATCCCAGCTCGTATGTGCATGTGTGTCCTGCAAATATCACAGTTCCCTGGGCCATGGAAGAGTGCCTCGAAAACTTAACTCAGTAGATTCAAACAGGGATCAAACGGATGAAATTACTGAAAGCTCCACAAATGGGACATCAGCCTTAGGACTGTTCCCTTCAGCTCACTTAGGGCTGCCTTTGGCAGCTGTTTGTGCAGCAGAATGTGTCATGTTAGGACTGTTCCCTTCAGCTCACTTAGGGCTGCCTTTGGCAGCTGTTTGTGCAGCAGAATGTGTCATGTGTGCTCTGGCTCTCCCACTGCCCCATGTTCTGTGTCATTTCTTCTCTAACTCTCCCACTGCCCCATTTTCCGTGTCTTGGGCTGTAATTCTCACACTGCCCGAGTGAGCTCAGCACCTGAGGGTGCTTTGGGATCTAAAGGGTCTGAAGTCCTGCCTGAGGACTTTAAAACTCTCCCGTAGGGCTCTTGGGAGTGCTTGCTCCCTGCTCCATGCCCACACGTAGCAGAGTGGATTTGCTGAGGGTGTAGCTCATCCTCTCAGGCTGTTTTCTCTGAGCTGAGCAGGGATTATTGCAGTTCCAGAGTGTGACCTCACAGACTTGGTGTGTTTTTCAGCCCAAAGCAGACCTGAACCAGGTCTGGTCCTTGCTTTGGCCAGGGCCGTATGGCAGGATGATGACAGAGCCCCAAGCCCTGGAGTCCCCCCATTCCCCTCGAGGTTCTGTTCCTGCCAGCTTTGAGGTGTTTCATCGTGGCTGTTGATCTCTTCTGGAAGTACAGTGACAATAATGAAAGTGCTTAGAGAGCCCTTAGTGTTTCTGAGGTGGTGTCCCAGACAGATTTGTGTTTTGAGTACTTCCTTCCTGCTAGTTTTGATCTACAGTGCATTTAGGGCATTGAAATTTTTTTAGCAGAAATGCTATCTTTATTTTTTGCTCTTTTCTTGCAGGCACACCCAACTTCCTGTTAAACATTTTGGGTAGGACAGTACTAAAGACACCAATTGTTTGATTTTTGCACCTCACTCTGGCACTGTACTGCAATGTAAGGGAAGGATATTTAAAAGCCATGAGTGCAATCCAGATCCTGTAAATCCAGAGCAGTTCAGATATTGATTTCAGTTGGGATGGGCTTTAGCCAAAAATATGCATTTTATTTAGACTCTGTTTTCCATCAGATATCTGTATTATGTTGCTAAATTCATGGAAATATGCCAGTGGATTTGGAGTCCATTGATACTCCTACAGCAAAAATGCATCCTGGGACTTGACTTGCCACTTAGTTTGAGGTCAGCAACCTCTGCCAAGAGTTCGCTTAATTAACGGAGGTGACCTGATTGCTGTTGGGCTGGAGGGTGTGGAGGAGGCTCACAGTTCACACAGACTCCATGGGTTACAAGCAGGACAAGACAGAAAAGTTGACAAGACAGATGCAGGCTGCATCTCTTGGCATTATTTCAGTGGGGAGGAAGCCCTGGTTTTGATGTGTAATTAAACCTTTACAGCTGACAACACCTCAGTGACTGTATGTCCCCATTTTCCAGGGAAAAAAGCCTTTAATTGCTGCTGATTTCTAAAAGAACCCCACACACTCCAGTACTTTTCCCCAGCACAGTTTGTTGGGCTGGGGCTCCCTGTGCCTGGTGCACCCAAAGTGGCATTTCCCAGTCAGGGAGCTCTGTGCTCTCGTGTGCAGAAGCTGATTTTCCAGGATGCAGAATATAAAATAGGCTGTGTACTGAGTGGGAGGTTCCAGGGTATGATACGTGGCTGCACAGTCCTTGGGAGCCAAGTAAAATACTCCTTTTCTATATATAGTCACCTGAAATCCAGCAGCAAAGACACTTCGGAATCTTGCACTCAAAACTTTAAGAAGCACTTTTTGCTCCTTAATATTGCCATTTTTTAAATTATTATTTCCACATGGTTTTGCAGGAGTGCTAAATGCTTTCATGGTGAATTCAAAAGAAATCTAAAAATATGAAGAAATTTAAAAAAAGGCAGAAAATTTTAAACGCTGCCTTTTCCTGAGGAAAATAATTCACCTTATTTGTGTGTGAAGCAAAGACTGTGACTTCCATGATTCCTTTGCCCAGATCTTTCCTGTTCTGTACAATTAAGGCAAAGATTTTCACAGCCACTGTGGTTGGATGTCTCAATTAAAAGGGACTGACTTTGCATCTTTATTTGGGCTCTGGGGTGACAACAGAAGTGAATTTTGCAAGAGCAGTGACGAGTCTGACCCGACTCCCAGGGACCCCTGGGCCTCTGGAGTCTCAGACCAAATCAGCAGCTTTTCACCTTTCGTCACCAATTTAGGAGTGTACATTTTGGAATATTCATTTTTAGATAATATCAGTTGAGAAAAGAGGGGGGAAAAAAGTAAAATCCAGTGCTGGATCTGAGCAAACAGAGAGGTCAGTGGTTAAGTTCTGCCTTGTGTGTTGTATATGCTGAAATGTCCTTTTATGAAATGAACCCACAAAATGGAAGAGTAGCTGAAAGCTGTAACACTTGGCCATGCAGCATAGGTCAAAGGTTACCTTTTTTTCTCAAAAATGGTTTTGCAAATCTTTTTCAGAGCTGATAGATACACACCTTAGCTGGATACAAAACATTATATGAAAAAGAATGACTGTGATCTTTGATCCAAGCAATCAAAAAGAAAGGTAATTGGTATTTTTCTGCCTTTTCTCCAGCTGTGTGTTTCTCTTAACCTTTATTTATTTATTTTTTCAATTAAGAAGTCATGCCCCTTTTTATTTGGCGTAGAGGGTTTAAAATATTTAATTTAATTTAATATTTTTATTTTATCATTCTTTTTCTTCCCCACTTGTGTAGCACAGAGCTGTCCTGAGGTAGCTGGGGTCTGGTGGGCAGGGAAGGAGAGCTGGGGCTGTGCATGCTGGGCTGGAGCAGCTGAAGGATCCTTCCAGGCAGGGCAGCTTTGAGGGCACTCTGCCAGCCAGGGCCAGCTTTGCTGCACCAGCTCCTGCCCAGGGCTTTGCTTTGCATGTCCCAATTTATCCTGGGCACTGCAGGACGTGGAGAGTGCAGGGAGGAGCCCCTGGGGCTGAGCTTTGCCTTCTCTGAGGAGCCCCTGACTGCTGCAGGATCCCCAGAGGGTCAGTGCCACACGTGTGGAACCCCCATGGCATCCCTGGTACCCAGGGGATCTGAGGGATTGTCGCCAGAGGGTCAGTGCCATGTGTAGGGAACACCCATGGCATCCCTGGGTATGGGGTGGCGCAGGTGGAGCTGTCCCCAGAGGGTCAGTGCCATGTGTGTGGATCACCCTTGGCATCCCTGGTACCCAGGGGATCTGAGGGATTGTCCCCAGAGGATCAGTGCCACACGTGTGGAACACCCCTGGTACCCAGGGGGATCCATAGGGTGGCACAGGTGCAGAGGGTGTGAGCGTGGCACCCTCACAGGGTGACATTGCCACCTCCAAGGGGCTCCTTTTGTCTCTGGGCTGCTGGGACACAGCCCAGTGTCACCCCATGGAGCACACCCCCATTTCCAGCTGGGAGGAGGTGAGGGGGGCTTGGCTGTCAGTGGGGCCTGAGCAGGGGCTGGTGCCCACCAGAGGCACACAGACTGACCCCAGGTCACCTCCCTGGGCATCCCCAGGGCTCTGTGCCACAGCAGGAGGTGACACAGGACACGCTGAAGGGGGCCCAGGCGTTTCCTTGGCCTGCATGGCTCCTGGCAGCTGTAATTTCAATATCTTTCTTTATGATTTAATCTTTCGTTATCTTTGCATATGTGCCTGTGGCCTCATTTAATCAGCTCTCTCATTAAACAGATCAATAGTGGTGTGATCCAGAGCAACCAGTGCCAGGCACCTTAAACACCAATGTTTTATTTATTAATCACATCATCTCCTGTTCCTCTCAGCTAGAAATGAGCAAATAATGAGAACTGATACTGGAGATACATTTTAACCACACTGCCAAAAAGAGACAGCTGGGAGTTCAGGAGAGCAGGTTCAGCCCATGCCCGGGGCTTCCTCTGAGGTTTGGGCACGGCTCAGTTTGCTGGTTTGGTCCAGGCAGATTTGGTCAGGCTCAGTTTGCTGGTTTGGTCCAGGCAGATTTGGTCAGGCTCAGTTTGCTGGTTTGGTCCAGGCAGATTTGGTCAGGCTCAGTTTGCTGGTTTGGTTCAGCCAGGTTTGGTTCAGGCTCAGTTTGCTGGTTTGCTCCAGGCCCAGTTTTCTGGTTTGGTCCAGGCTCAGTTTTCTGGTTTGGTTCAGCCAGGTTTGGTCCAGGCTCAGTTTGCTGGTTTGGTCCAGGCAGATTTGGTTCAGGCTCAGTTTGCTGGTTTGCTCCAGCCAGGTTTGGGTCAGGCTCAGTTTGCTGCAGCCTTCTGCTGAAGCCCAGGTCTCCTGGGTAGCCCTGGCTCTGGGCACACGTGCTCACAGTTCTGGAGCAGATCCCCAGGGGTGTGTGATTTCACTGGCCTTGGGCTGGAGGTGATTTCAAGCCTGGAGAGCCAGCCATGCCTTGGGATCATTTTGGTTGGGTTTAGGGACTCTGGTTGTAGGTTTTAGTGCTGGGACAAGCCCTGACACACTCCAGTGATGCCCACCTAACCTGCACTAACACTCCTCTCAGCACTTGGATTTGGGTGAAGTTAGGGTGACTGTGGGATGTTCAGGCCAGCTGATAACAGGGAGCTCTTGGCATTCAGGTTCTCCCAAAAAACCCAATTTTCCACGTGGAAGAGCTGGCAGGGAGCAGTCCTGGCTGTGCCTGTCCAGGGGTTAATGCTTCACACTGCTCCCCTGCAGCTTTTCAGCCCTGTTCAGGCTGCAGCCCCCTCTAACCTCAGCCCACAGAAGCCACTGCTGACCTCAGGGGAGGGAAAGTGAAGTTTGCAGGCTGAGTCAGCACTTCCCCACAGCATCCAGCCTGCCCAGAGCCAGCCCCAAGCAGGGAACAACCAAAGCTGGACCCCCAAAGCATCTTCAGGGAGCGCCACTGAATTTTCTGCTCGTGTTTCACTTAATATTTAACCCTTCCGAGATGCAGATTTTCCATGACTGTACGAGAGAAAAGGACTAGGTAAAACTCCTCTGCGGTATTTTTGGTAGCACAAACAAATGCGTTGATAAATAAATCGCCTGCAGCCTCAGCCCACTTGTTCCTCAAAAGGAAATGACCCTCTAAGAGTGGGTGCCCACTTCTTTTACCTCACTGCTATTTTTAGCTGAGGCTGTGAAAACTTTCCATTGAAGACCTGCTCCTGTCATTTCCTGGGCAGAGCAGGCAGGAAGCTGTGAGCGAGCAGGAGGAGGCTCTGCCTCGGGCTGGACCAACCTCCCCTCCCTCCGGCTGCTGCCTGCACTGCAGAGCCCCCAGATGTTCCTTCTGTGCCACAGCTCACCCACAGCCAGCAGGTGGGATGCTGGGCAGCAGCATTGGGCAGGAATTCTGCTTTTCCTGCCCAAATCATCTCCAGGAGGCACCAGGCTGCCTCAAATCGGCATCTCCCAGCTGGAATTAGGATGGGCTGTGACTGGTGGGATTTCTGAGCATGGAGTTCCTGGGGTACAGCCCCCCACGTCCAGCAGCAACATGGAGCCTTGAAAAAATACAGATTTTACTTTCTCAGAGACAAATCCCAGCATGCAGAGAGGAAGGAGATTCAAAACCATGAATTGGAACTATTAAAAACTAATTAATGTTAGAGACTTACCAGAGACTGGGCACCAGATTTTTTTTAGATAGGGGGAAGTAGTGAAATTCTATGTTAATTAATACTATGCTAATTAATACTCATAAACATTTATTAGAACTTGGATAGAATATAGAGGAGTCTTAGAGCTGCAAACGTGAGGATTAATCAGTCCTGGGTGAGGGCCTGCTTTGGTTTGAGTTAGTCCCTGTTTTAGCCCTTAAATATCAACAGGGAGAAGTCATTTAGATCTGGGGTGTGAAACTTAGAAAATTTCGTTTTCTTGTTTAAAGGCAAATTAGTCAGAGTCACTAAGGAGTTTCCACACCGTGATGAATACAGCACCAAGGGGCTGCAGGTGAAATGGAGCCCCAAAAAGGCAGTTCTGGAGTTCTGCATCAAAATGCTCATGGTTTAGATCTCTCCTAATCAAAGTGCAGAGATTTCTGCATGAAATTCTAGGGAGCACCTGAATTCTAGAGAGAGAGTTGTTGTTCCAGGAGGTGCCAGAGGGTGCTTTAGGCAAGTGAGTGTGAAAAGTTGCCAGGAGACATTGGCTGTTGTAAATAAAGTGATATTTTTCTGACTTTTAAACAGAGCAGAGTTCTTCAGTGTCTCCCCTTGAGCTTTATGAACAAGCCTGTCCCAGCCTCTCACAGCAGCTGGTGCTGCATGCAGGTTGTTTGTGCTCCACTCTGCAAATAAATGATAATAAAGATGTAAAGCAGCGAGAGTCTAGAGAGGGATTAAAAAATACCAAACATAAACCACCCAAATGCAAACTTCTTCACCTGAATTGCAGTCTCTGTGTTTTCATCACTGTCCACTACATTTCCTCCACACCTGGCCCTTTTCTCTTTCAAATATTTTTCTTTCAGCCTAGTGAAGCTGTTCTAATGCTTAGGTACCTAGAGATGTTCCTTCCTTTTCCCCTGGGGTAGGGGCAGTGTCTGTGGCAGAGCGAGTGTGTGTGAGGGATGTGGCAGCCCTGGGCAGTGCAGCCTCTCTGTGTTTTAGGGCACCTGAATCACACTGAACACAGTGAAACCCTCTGTCCACTCCTTCCCCCTTGCCTTCCAAAAATGTGTAACCTGGGCAGACAGGACCATTATTTATTATTTAAATTTTAATAAATTTGCGTATGAATGCAGAGGGGATGTTTGCAGCTTGACTGCCCAAGGATTGCTTTTACTTTTTCCTTGTCGTGATGTTGGAAGTGTTTTAATGTTTCCTCCTCTTTCTTTTATTTCCCAGTTAACGAAATTATCAGGAAGGAATTTTCTGGACTCCCTGCCAGAAGTCAGACATAGAAGAAGAGATTTGTGAGACAACTTTTACCGAACCCTTCCATAAGTGACCTCTTAGATCCTTCAGTGCCCCTGCAACCCCCGGCTTCCTTCACAGTTCATCTCCAGGCAGAGACTCAGTGCAAGGAACAATGAATTGGCACCAAGTGACAGCCTTGGCTGAGCACCTCGCCACCTCTGTGTGTAAACAGCACGAAGGACACCCTTCCTTTCATCCAGAGACCACATTGTTCTCCTGGAACAGAGCATCTGTCTGAGGAAACACTTCAAGCCTGCTGCAAGCCATGTGTCTGTGCGTCCGTCCATCGCGGGAGACAGAGCTGTCCCCTGGGCAGGGCTCAGAGCCTGGGGTGGCCCCTGGGGGTGGGCAGGGGGGAACAAAGAGTCATCTATTCCGTGGAAGAGCAGCACCATCCTGCAGGTGATGTGCCCTCCAGGTTTCCAAGCCCTCCTGAGCAATGTTATTATTGCAGGGAACTGAGGCAGCCGAGCTCACTCAGCCTTCTTCCAGTCCAGGATCAAAAGCCAGTTTGCTCTGAGCACTGTGGTTGGTATTTCAAATAGGAGATCCCAGCTGAATCCAGGGATTTTCTTCATTTTTCTTGTCAGACTGGATAGGAATTTGAAGGAGAGGGATTCTCATAACCAACCAGTGAAAAGAGCAATTCAGCAGTTGCAATGCCTGCCCCAAGGTAAAATAAACCCAGGTAAACCAGAGATTAATATATAGGAGTCACAGTAAACACCAAAGATTTTATGATTGATCCTTATTAGTATTAGGCAGTGTATGAACACATCTTAGATATTTTCTCTCTAACAAATGGTTGCTGTTTCTTTTCATGTAGAACCTGCTCTTGGCTCATAACTTGTCTCATTTAGCAGCTGGAACATTTACTCACCTAAGCTGCAGAGGAAAATAATTGCATCTTACAGAAGCCATACATTCCAGAGAAAATAGACACTTATTTATATTCACCTGGCCTCTTTAGCTTTGCAACGCTACCAGCAGTTCCTGGAAAGGTTCCATTTCCATGGGAGTTAGTATTTTGTTATGTTTTGCTTCGTGTGTTAGAATATCCTGTCCTGACTCCTGCTTAGCACATTCCAGGTAACCACTGCCACCTGCAGTTTAGAATATTTAGGGGAGTCAGGTTGGAATATTTAGGGGAGCCAGGGGTAAAAAGGCTTCTGAGTGGGAAATCAGTGTACAGTGAAAGATAGCCATAATATTTTAGGAATTACATAGTAATCTTTCCTGGTTTTATAAATAAGGAATGCTGATATTTTCGGGAATGCAGAGCCTGAGTTCTGCTCTAGAGCACAGTGAAATTAATCCAGTTTTCAGTTGTGTCACAGTAAACTTGGCGGAATACCAGTGTGTCCCCTGCTCACAGCAGGAATGAGGGATGGGAATTCAGCAGAGCAGCCTCCAAAGTGGTTCCCCAATATCTCAAGAAAGATTTTGCACAATCCCTGCAGAGCGTGGCTTGGCCCGACAGAAATCTCTTCAGGACTATCAGGAAGAATATATTTTCTGCCAGTGAAAACTGGTGCTTAAACTCTGCAGGGTCTTGGGGTTAGAGTGGCAAACAGAAGCATTGGGTTCTTCAGAACACCTGAGCTGGGGCTCAGCTAGAATTCGGCTCTTGAACAGAAATCTGAATTTCAGGAGAATTTCTGAACTCCAGATTCAGCCCAGCTCAGATCCAGAACCAGAGCAGAGCCCTGCACATGCCAGCCTGGCATTATTGGCACCCCAGGCTTCTGTTCATGCTTTGTGAGGGTCAGACCTTTCACCCCAGAATGATTTCCCTGTATCCCCACACCCAGAACTGCCGGGGTGCCTCACCCTGGTGCTCTCCTGGTGAGCTCTGCCCTGCAGGTGCCCCGGCCAAGCCCAGCCTGGAGCTGCAGAGGTGAAAATGGCTTTTTGTAATCGCTGCCTTTGCAGGAACAGAAGTGAGGCCGGCCTTGCTGCAGAGGGGATTCCTGTTAGACAGCACTCAGCAGGGCTGGCTGGCTCACACACCTCAAAAAGCTGTTCTGGATTGTTAAAAGCTGTCCGTGGGCCAGCATCTGACACATATTAAGGGGTTTTTAGTGCAGTCTGACGAATTAGACAATTTGGACATATTCTAAAGGCCAAAAGTTGCCTTGTCAGAAGTTCTGTGCTATAGCTGAGTTAAAGAACAGACCAAATGCATCTCCCACTTTCACACTTGGATGTATCAAACGTTTTCCATGATCCAACCTGTAAAGTACAGGAGAAATGTAAAAAACAACCCAGAAACCCATCCACAGAAAAAAAAAAATCCTCAGTTTACTGGCAGAACCTTCTCTTTTGCTGGATTTTAAATTGAAGCTGAAAGAAGCCCAGGAAGGTCTTTTCAGATCTGGGATGTGCTGCTGCTGCTGCTGCTCTGGTGATTTTCTGCAGCAGCTACTCATCAATTTCAGAGAATAATTTTTGCATATTTATTTTTAGATAATATCAATTTAGAAAAGGGGTTGGAAGTAAAATCTAATGCTGGATCTGAGCAAAAGAAAAGGTCAGTGTTTAAATTCTACCTTCTGGATTGTAGATGCTGAAACGTCCTTTAATTAAATTAACCCCCAGAAGGAAGGAGTAGCTGAAACCTTGGGTTTGGAGCAAAGGCTGTTCAGCAGACAGTGCTGCACAGGAGCTCCCTGCAGCCAAAGGACACAGATTTCCACTGTGCTCATGTGTTCTTCAGGCCCTTTGCTACACTGGGGACAGAGGGTTGGGGCTTGATTTGTTGGATTTTTGGGGGTTGCTTTTTTTTGTTTGGTTTTTTGGTTTTTTTTTTTATTTTTTTGGGGCTGATTTTTTTTTTTTTTTTTTTTGGGGAAGGGGTTTTTAATGTGCTACAGGTGCTCTGGCCACGCTTGCATTGACTGTATTCCTTCCTCCTCTTCAATGCACAGGTATTAATCTGTGTACATATACAGTGTACAGTGTCATTTATGGAATACACCCACACAGAGAGGGGCTATTGCCACGGGCTGGTAGTGACAGGACAAGGAGGAATGGCTTCCAACTGACAGAGAGCAGCTTTAAATCAGAAATTAGGATGAAAATCCTCCCTGGCAGGTGGGGAGGGCTGGGCTGGAATTCCCAGAGCAGCTGTGGCTGCCCCTGGGTCCCTGGCTGGGTGCTGGGAGCAGCCTGGCACAGTGGGAGCTGTCCCTGCCCTGGCAGGGGTGGCACTGGGTGGTGGCTGAGGTCCCTGCCAGCCCAGCCATGCCCTGCTCTCTGTGGGTGCATTATTTTATCCGTGGTTAGCAATGAACACCCGTGCAGAGCTGGCTCCAGCTCAGCGTGGAGGCTTCCCCCCTTGTATTCTGTGTTCTAGGGGTTCAGGCTGTGCTGCCCCATCTGCTTTTCCATGCAACAGTAGTTAAACCATTCAGCTTCAACCACCTTTGTATTTATTTCTGGAGAAAAGGAGCATCCTCAGACGTAGTGTTGTGCATTGTTGTCTCTTTAAAAAGGGAACTGATATGTTAAAATCATATAGCTAGGCTGAAGAATTTCAATATATACAGTACTAAATTATTTCCTGTTCTTGCTGAGCAGTGTTTTCCCAGTATTAGGGATTTCTGTCACTTAGTACAGCTTTCTCTCTGTAGAAGCACAAGCTTAACCTAGGAAGAGTTAATAGCATTTTGTGAGCAATTTGTTCTCACTTTATCTGGAAGATAGCCATATTTGCACATGAGGAAATTCTGTCTTTCCTCAGTTATCTGAATGTTTCACCACAGTGCCTTCCTGCCATTGTACCAAAGGCCCACAAATATCTTGTCTGCGGGGTGAACAACTCTAATGCATTTTCCATCAAAGTTGCACCATGTGAAGTTCATGGGGCATGTTGGAACTCAAAAGTTCATCTCTTTTTATTTGTCTTTTGTGCGTGTGTGTGTGTGTGTGTATTTTTTTTTAACTTCCATTTTTCCATCCGAGCTTTGGCTGCGAATACAGGATGAGCTTCTATAAACTCTGCATCAAATATACATAGAATAAAAATCATCATTCATGATATGTAAACAGTCTGAGATGGAATGGGAGTGGGCAGATATCAGGAAGATTTTTTTTTTGTCAGTTCTGAGTGTTGGAAGTCGAGTTTGCCAGGAGAGGAATTGCTTGTGAAGATACTTGCAATGAAATACAAAGTCCTGGTTTTGTTTTTCTCCATGAGAATGAGCAAAATGTAAGATCTGAGCAACAGCAGTGGAGTGAAAGTGTCTCATGTATGTTGTTTTTACTGGGAGAAAGAATGTAGAAGAGTCATGGGTTTTGCACTTGCTTTATTTGTATCCATGTAAATATGTATCCCTCTGTTCTCCCCATAGGAATACAGCATTTCCTGAATGTAGAGGATTCCCCAAACCAGCACCATATTATTCTCTATTGTATAAAAAGCTGCTGCTTCATACCATATCTAGACCAGTTCTCAAAGTAGCTAGCATGTTTTTTTAAAGTGTATTTTGTAATCCCTGTCTTTACAACAAAGGTGACTGTGCTTTTTGTCTGACCAAATATGCAACAACTTTTGAATTAAGGTTTGTATTTATAAAGGATCAGTTTTCATTTTCTGAATGCCTTACTTTTCTATGCAATTGTTGTTGAATTGTTGTTGTCGAATTGTTGTTGTCCTAAAAAAAAAAGAAAAAAAAAAGATGTATTTGATAAATTTCCCAAAGACTTCAAAGACAGCTTTAAACGCTTAAGAAATATGTTTCTAAATATTTCAATCTGACTTTTCCCCCTGCATTTCTTTCCAAATTGCTACTTAATAGGGAACAATGATCTGCCAGATGGGACTCAAGAAAATGACTGTCTTAATTTCAAATCTTAAACTGATTCAGATCCTCATAATTTTTGCACCACTTAAAACGATCTGATGTCCCAGTTTAGCTGCAGTACTGTGTTTGTTATTTATGTTCCATATTCCTGTGCAATAGGAAGAGATGCCACTGCTGGGTCTCAGTGGGGTGAATTGTAAAATTCTCCAGAAATCAGCTCTTTTTCTCATCAGTTACATTGCAGTGGTTTCTTACCTGTGAGGCAGCACTCTGCCATCACACGTTGTAATTCTTTATTCATCTCAGTTCCGAATGAATAATCCACCTTTTGGAATGTTTGACACCAGATTGGCACCTGTGCCTTTAATTCCTGCTGGTTGAAGTGCAGGGCTCTCAGCTGACAGCAGCTCCTCTAGCTGCCAGCCAGTGTCCAGCCCACTCTGGTCTGTTTAGGGTTTGTTTAGACATTTGTGTTGTTTCAGCGGTACAAAAACAGAAATTAGTACCTGCACATTGCAATAAACTTCACCTGAAGGTGCTGATGCTGCAAAAGATGTCCTCAAATGCAAAAAGTTACCTGGGGGGGTGAGTTTCATTCTGTAACTCCTAAAATAGCAAGATTGGGTAGAAAGCTCCAGAAGTGTCAGAAATGAGTGGTGTTTGTAAAGGCCAGAGCCCCCAGGTGTGCTGCTGGAAGCAGCACTTACTGCAGGATGGCCTCGAGCATCTGCTGGTGGCACCTGGGCACAGAGAGTCTGCCAGGCTGGCCTGCCTGGCACTCACGTTTTTCTCTGTGTAATTATGAAGTGATTCCCCCCAAGTCAGCCCTCCCTGCCCTGGATGTTCGGGTAAAGCCATATTTTAATAGACACACGAGTTGTCACTCACATCATCCTAACAGATGTCTTTTGAACCAAGTTGCCTGTTCAAAAACCCAACTGTCACAATTGAAAAGGGGTTTATATCATTCACATTCCTGCAACAACGTTGTTAACCTCCAATGTAATGATTTTTTGCTATCTGTAAAGTATTTTTATATATTGCCTATACTATGGTAGACTAGCAATAAATGAAAGGGCATCATCTGCTGCAAGGGTGTTTGGTCTGTTCTTAAATACCTTTACTGCCTTTGATAAATGAATATTGGGGGCCGAGTCACCCACTTGTCTTCTTGTCCTGTCACCCTCTGAAATACTCAGGAATGGGTGTGCAAAAGGATTGCAGAGCATGGAGCATTTCCTCACTAATGAGCTGCAGAGCATGGAGCATTTCCTCACTAACGAGCTGCTCAGCTCCCCTTTTGGGGGTCCCACCCAGGCCCTGTGCCTGAGACTGGTCACACAAATGAGACTTCTTCATTTCCTCTTGGTGTCTGTTTTCCCTCTTTTAATTTTCTCTCCCCAATAAAAAACCCCAAATAATCCACACCAACAGGTACTGCAGAGCCTTGACCTTAATCAAGGAGTAATTTCCATCTATGTAAATGTCCTTCTGCATCAGTAAATGCTTTTTTGGAGACTGGGGATGGACTCCACTTTTTTTTTATTTCATCTAAATCTTAATTCTGCATTTCTCTGCTGGAGACACTAAAAGAGACATTTTCATACTGCTGTGCTGGAGGGATGCCCAGAGCCCATTATGGCCCAGTGAGAGTCGAGTTTATACAGCGTTCAATTAAAGACATTTACCTTAACAAAATCAATATTATCCTTTGCATTTAAACCCCGAGAATTCAAACCATATTCCATGCATTTGTTGGCCACGGAGCAAGTGTTTTGCCTTGCTTATTCACCAAAGCCTCAGAGCAGGGGCCATGTGGAAGTTCTTAACTCCCAACCCTGCACAAAGGCTGGAACCAGACAGGCTTCGCCAACAAAGAAGCTGTTACTGGCGAGGAGAGAACATTTTATGATGAGCAAATATATGGCACACAGGATTTCAGCTTTATTCAGCAACAGGAAAATTTAAGTAACTTAACCTGGAAATTCCACAGCTCTGGTCTGAGAACTTGAGCACCTGACCTGATCCTCTGGCTTTAATTTATGTCTTGGGGCCGAATTAAAGGACTACAACAATACCCCAGGTTTTTCGTCTTAACGGGAAATTTCCTGGATTTTGTAGACTTAACTCGCTCTTCTGTAACCCTTCAACAGAGCTGACTTTTTTCCCAGTTTTCAGGGTAGCAGCAAGGAAGAAAAACCCATGTTTCTAATGAACATCTGGGTCTCGTATGAGCACTCGCGTGCTCCGCTGTGTAAATACGCCATTTACAGCTTCTTTTTCTTTTTTGAAATACAGATGTAATTTAGTCAATTTAAGGAGCTGCCTTTCAGCTTCAGAGCAGATTCTTTTCTCAATACATCACCACTGGCTTGCTCAGGTGGCCAGGCTCAACTGGGCTGCTCCAAGGGAGCTTCACAGGGAAGAGGAGCTCCCACTTACTGTATTTGTGGGACCCTCGTGGCAGGAGGGAATGATGAACCTGACTCCGTGTTCTCAGAAGGCTAATTGATTATTTTATGATACTATATTATATTAAAGAATACTAAACTATACTATACTAAAGAATACAGAAAGGATACTTACAGAAGGCTAAAAAGATAATAATGAAACTCGTGACTCTCTCCAGAACCCAAACACAGCTTGGCACTGATTGGCCAAAGAGTGAAAACAACTCACATGAAACCAATGAAACAATCACCTGTGGGTGAACAATCCCCAAACACATTCTGAAAGAGCAAAACACAAAAGAAGCAAATGAGATGAGAATTGTTTTCCTTTTTTTCTGAAGATTCTCAGCTTCCCAAGAGAAAAATTCTGCGCAAAGGGATTTTTCAGAAAATATGAATGTGACACTCACCCAACACCAGCCTCATCTTCCCTGTCCCTGTGTGGGACTGGCTGCTGCCCTGAACTCAGCATCTTGTGGGGTAGAGGGGCTTGAATTAATTTTATTGAGAGAAGCCAAAGCCCCAGCAGAGGATTTG